AAACACGCGTCTCTGGGCTCTAAGCTACTTCTTGTGCTGCTAGTATGGTAAATGATTATGTAAAAGTGTCAGCCTTTTCTTTTGTCCCACTTTCGGTCCTAACCCACCAAGCTTCTACGGAGAACAGAAACTGGTTGGAGCCATGAGCTGATGTGGATTAGGAGGAGTAACAGATCAAGGACTGAGTCCTGGATGAAACCACTTACAACGAACGCGGGAGTTGACGTCAAGACGGTCATAGATCTCCAATAAGGAACTCGTAGATCATGTCACCAGTGTTTTCTTTATTCTGACTTCATATCATTAGCAAATTAGACGTTTATGTGAACCAACATGGAAGACTTTAATCAAGTCGGTGTGGATGACATCAGTTCTTTAACCACCTCCCATGCGTGAATTCACCATTCAGTCGAAGCCAGTGAGTTGGTAAGACAAAAACAATTCTGGCCGGTTTACTTTCCGAGGAAATAAATACACGAACGTGGAGCACATTCTTCCGAACAGACCTTTTCAGGCTCGGACCGAAACATCCTACGAGTATTTGAGCTGACATCCATCAGCTACTGCGGTATAACCACGTAATTTTCAGAACAGAAGACACTTAGGCGACGCTGGAGGACCCGCTGATGAGCCGAATCCCTCGCAATTGTTTCAGGCATCGGCACAAGATTGGTGAAATGCGCGTATCCGGGCTTTTAGCTTGTACCTGCGCCATCAGTGCGGTAAATAATTACGTAGTATTTGCGGTTGGGTCAGCCCGTCATATTCTGGTGGTGAGCATCCCTCATTCACGTGTTCTAAGTCTGCCGAATAGTTTATTGAGGTAGCTGCACTAATTCTGCTTTTTTTGCTCCCTCGTAATGTACGCGCCTTTATGACTGTGATACAGTTAGCAAAGTAAAGTATTACTGAAAAATCGGCTCGTATGTATAAATCACTAGACTGGACAACGAAAGCGGTGATTTATATAAAAAGAATAATCGCTTGTGAGAGAAGTTCCAATGTGGCATAATAGCATAGCTAAATATTTGTCTCCTGTCCTATCAGATCGTGAACACCACTTCTAGGTGAATTTGGAAATATTTGTTAACGACCGGGAGGGCATAAGAATATCGCTTAACAATAAGGATATCACATCCGGGAGCCAATTAGATACAGATTTTTGAAAAGTAGACCTCTTCCTCTCTGTTTGGGGTAGGCGCAGCTAAAAACAGGAAAACATCATTCCATTCTTTCTCCCTTTTTATTGTCAAATAATCTCCATTAATGTAACAAGAGTAAACGGGTTACTTCGATGTCTAACTGTTGATCTTTTTCCCACCATACAGCTCTGGGCGTAGAGCTCTCGGGTCAACTAATCATCACCTCAATTGCATCGGGTGGCAAGGCGGAGCGTTCAGGCCTTCGTGTCGGCGACCGCGTTGTCAACTTGAATGGCATCGACGCTGCTCACCTCAGCCTCATTGACGCAGCCTATATTCTGCGGAGGGAACAATCTGACGTGACCCTGATGCGCGTGGAACACGAGGATGGGGAAGAAGCGCTGGCCAGATTGGAGAACATGGAGTCCTCACCACGAGTCTACGAAAATCTACGAGAACGTGCACAGCCAATCTGTTACCATCAGCACCAACCCCACACTTGCTGTTGCCATGCACATCTCGTCCAGGGCCCTCAGTCTGTCGAATGCGGTGAGTCCTAACTGTAGATAGAGAAGGAGAAGGCGTTTCGATCACTGGAATCATAACCTTACTCGTCTGAGCTTTCGGGCTCTTTCTGGAGTCAGAGATAAAAGGCGTCAACGAAAGATAAGCAACAATTATAGGAGGCAGGGAAGAATTAACCGTTATAGGGGGACAATCAACCACCAGTGCCATCATTCCGGAGATGCCCTCGCAGGGCGATGTATGCCGGTGCCAGATCGATAAGTTGATTGACTGAGCTCTCATCCAATGCCCAGGCTTCAGATAATTGTCGGCCCGTCTTGTTGCCGGCGTGGGCGATCATACTCACATTTTATCTCTGATAATGTGTTCCAGAAAGAGCCCGAAGGCTCATACGAGTAAAACTATGATTCTCGTGATCGAAAGGCCTTCTCCGTCTCTATCTACACCCGTACCTGGGATGCGAACATTTGCCTCAATTCGCGAGTCCGAAATGTTCTGCAACTTACTCACCACTCCGCTCGCTATCTTGATCAGCTGCCTCATCTTGCTTCTAGTGCACCCGCCTACTCCCTTCTGGCAACCAAGGGAACGCCCCACAGCCAGCCACATTTGCACCATGTCTCCCTGCCTGGAGGAATCAGAATCAGAGGATAGGGATATCATTTCATGGGGTCTCAAACTGCGCGCTCCAGGTGCGGTCCACTGTACTCAATGCCACTGTGGGCACCCCAAAGTCGCCACATGGATGGGAGACCGAACAGACCCAGGGGACTTCTTT